TCAGACATAGCTGTGAGAAAGCCACCAGCCTTTCCTAAGAATAGAATCCTGTAACAGTGAAAAACAGCTTGTTTCCCTGAGAAAGGGTTCTAAGATTGGGACTGTTTCTTGCACCAGTATAAGCTATTCTAAACTGTCAAAGAGAAAAATGCAAACATCTAAATACAGATGCTGGCCAGCACGTAGGCACCTCTGATGAGCTCACCAATTGTTGCAGGTAACAACTTGTTACTGACCAATGAGAAATAGGCACAATATGTTTGTAAAACTCTATATAATGGGACGTGGGAATAAACCTTTACCTTTTTTTGCTTCATGAACAAGAGTGTGTCTCATTTCTCTAAAGTGAGGTCAACAGTGATTCCTTCCATCTGTAGTATAAACTGTCTCTGCCTTTTTATTTTTTAAAGCTTCCCTTTCTATTTCACCACTGCTTTCACTAACAAATAAATTACATCTTTCTACTTCTTTCATTATTACTTTGCTCTACAGCTGCTGGAGAAAGTGATGCTGAAGCAAAGCTGTAACCCCAGAAGAAACTTGGACTTCTTCATCAGAACTAAGCTCCCATTTAGAAGGCAGATGGAAAAAAGTTTAATTAGTTGTACAAATACTTCACAACCCATGGGCTGATGAAGTCGGCTTCTGTTTAATGCTTTCTTCTGTGGTTATGTTATAGCACCAGCCACTTGCACTTCTTCTCATTGATAGAAGAAAGGTGGTAAGAAACCACAGAAAACTCAGGACTGATAAAAAGATTGCTGGTGTATGGGATAAAGGCAGAGCACCCTGAAGTGCCTGGCTGCCAGCACAGGAGGTACTTGTGAGCTGATGTGCACCAGCAGCAGGGTGGGAGGGGAGGCGACTGGAAGGCACAGGAAACCCAACACACCTTTCTGTGCACTGTGTGCAACTGCAACAGAAAATCAGTTTCTGTTCTAAATGGTTAAAAAAACTCTTTGTGTTTATCAAATAAGTGCAAATCATGTCATTTAGATGACTGGCAGCTGTAATGGGCTGTAGAATGATACTCTGCCAGTTTGAGTGGGATTGGGAATGCAATCAGATTTCAGAGCTGAAGAAAGAGCTCACTACTGAGGGTAAAGGCACAGAGACAAAACCTCCCGTGGAGTATCCACAGACTAACAGTGGCAGGGGGTTAATGGGTCTTTCCAAAAGAAACCCTCCTATTGATATTTCCCCAATTCTGCTCCTAAAGGCAGGGCTGAAATCGTAGGCATTTGGTGACTTAGATCAAATCACAATTCCTGATAAATTCATCTTCAGTGGTGGAAAAGGCCACTCCCTTCTACTCCACTAGCAGCTGTGGTCTGCTGATTGGGAGGGTCTGCCAAGATGCTGACATTGCATTTCCATCCAGAGCCCCCATGCTGGCTGGAGCTGCAGTCAGGTTACACAGAGGCAGAGGGGAGAGTCTCTGCTGAAATTCCCCAGAGCAGGCGTTTTTCCTCGCAGCTGTTCTGGCTTTATGCACACTCCTCTGTGATCCATCCCTGGGCAAAGGCACACAGACTGCTTTTAGCTGCCAGGGACAATCAAGGTCACTGTTTGACACTGATGTGCAGTGGTATTCCTGTGCTTCACCAGCCCCTGAGCATGTGAATCCCACTGTGGGTGGCTTGAGCTCCTACCAGACACCAGAGGATGACCAGCTCCCCTGTCTCTCCACCTTCCTGCCATGCACACTGAGGCCTGGGACTAATGAACTTTGGGGAGCCCTGCACCTCCCAGGAGGTCGCAAGCCCCACTGGCTGAGGCACACGTGGACATCCCTCCTCCCCTGCTTCCCTACCTCCAGAGAGCTGTGTGCCAAGCCCAAGCAGCCAGCTCCAACACTGCTGCAAATTCCCACGTGTGGAGCCAATTCTCTGCCAGCTAACACCAGCCTGGGGACCATGGCCCCTGCCTTCAGTGCCATTCACCCATCATCAGCTTCTCCTGAAGGTCAGCCCTTCTGAATTCCCACACTGCTACTCACAGGCAAAATCAGTTGCTCACAGACATTTTCTTTTTAAGAAATCTTGTAGCATTGCAGTTAGCTCTACTTTTCTCATATTATTAATTTTGCTCTGGTTAAATTAAAGCTGATAAATTAGAGACTTCTGTAAGGCCCACAGAAAAATGGGTTATATAACATCTTTTTTATTTATTTAGCTTGATATCAAAGTTGTTTCTTATCGTTCTTCAGCTATATTGTTCTCAGGAAAAAATTCAATTTTCTATTCAACAAGGAGGAGCTGATTTTTCTACTGCTGATTTTCTGTCTTTTTCTCAATTCTCACTCTATTATTGGGGGGAAAATAACAAGCTTAGCTGGAGCTGGAGAAACCCTTCCAGCTTTGCACATCACACTGTGCCATCCCTCACACGATCCAAGTGGTCCACCTATTGGGCTCTGCTCGACAGAGCAAGCACCAAAGTCAGAAGTACAATGATGTTTTTCTTGACATAGTTACTTGCTCATGTTGACAAACGGAGTGACAGCTGTGCCCTTTTTAGGGCAACATTTGTGCAGAAAACAAAGTCAAATAAATAATTTCCTCGGGTGTTTTTTCCCCCCTTCTCCTACTACTGCAGTCCCAGCTGGGCTGAGCTCCCGGGAAGCAGCCAGGCTGGCTGGAGCTGCAGATGGGCCCCAGGTTCACAAGTGCCAAATCCTGCTCCCCATGGTTTCTATCATGTCTTGAATTGCTTCCACAGCAAAACACGCTTATTTTACACACATTGTGATGGGAAGAGTGAGCAGAGACCTCTACACCCCCAAGACTGAGAGGAAGTAAGAAAGAAGGAGAAGCAGGAGGATAGCTAGAGACAGAGCTACATCTTGGAAAACCCAGCAGAGCTGTAGGGTTTGGCCCCTTCTGGATTTACCTCTGGCAGTGCCAGGCACAGCAGGATGAGGAGCATTCAGCCACCTCTGGCTGACACTCACTGGAAAAGCTCAAGGCTCCTGCTACGCTGTATTTCTGCTGGAAGAATCCAGCAAGGAAAAACAGGAACCAGCAGGGAGCAGGGTTTGGGGTGCAAGTGAAATGTTCTTTCTATGTTCTTCCCTGTGGCCACCGGCTGAGCAATCTCAGCCCTTTGCCCTGCTTCCCCCAGTCAAGCTGGAGACAGTGTGATGAGAACCCTGATTTCCCTGCAAAGTACAGAAATACAAAAAAAACTTAGGAAAATCCACCTCTGCCTCTTAGACTTCACAGTCAGCAGAGTAGGTCTTCCAGAAACCACACAGTCCCTGAGGAAGGCAGAAGCACAGGTAGAGGTGGTTTTCTCAAGGCTAATAGCCCAATTACTGGTGGCTGCAGCCACTGCAGATTTCCTGTGATAGCTGTCATTTTATGGCTCCATTTCACCCAGAGAGCAGCATGGGCAGCAGTGCCTCCAGTCACACACAGAGGCAGGAGAAGCTGGGGGTGCTCATGGGCAGGCTGGCGTTTGATGCCCACACAAGGATATGTGATGCTAGCTAAGAGCAAGGCATGTGGCAAAACGTGTAAAGCACTGGGAGCACACAGCTGGATGTACAGACAGCAGCAAGGCATGTGGCAAAACGTGTAAAGCACTGGGAGCACACAGCTGGATGTATAGACAGCTGTGCTTGTACACCTGTGTGCCTGTACACCTGTCAGCCTGTACACCTGTGTGCCTGTACACCTGTGTGCATGTACACCTGTCAGCCTGTACACCTGTGTGCCTGTACACCTGTGTGCATGTACACCTGTCAGCCTGTACACCTGTGTGCCTGTACACCTGTGTGAATGTACACCTGACAGCCTGTACACCTGTGTGCTTGTACACCTATGTGAATGTACACCTGCCAGCCTATACACCTGTGTGCCTGTACACCTGTGTGCATGTACACCTGTGTGAATGTACACCTGTGTGCTTGTACACCTGTCAGCCTGTGCATCTGTGTGAATGTACACCTGCCAGCCTGTACACCTGTGTGCTTGTACACCTATGTGAATGTACCCCTGCCAGCCTATACACCTGTGTGCCTGTACACCTGTGTGCTTGTACACCTGCCAGCCTGTACACCTGTGTGCCTGTACACCTGCCAGCCTGTACACCTGTGTGCCTGTACACCTGTGTGCATGTACACCTGTCAGCCTGTACACCTGTGTGCCTGTACACCTGTGTGCATGTACACCTGTCAGCCTGTACACCTGTGTGCCTGTACACCTGTGTGCTTGTACACCTGTGTGCTTGTACACCTGCCAGCCTGTACACCTGTGTGCCTGTACACCTGCGAGCATGAACACCTGTGTGCTTGTACACCTGTGTGAATGTACATCTGTGTGCCTGTACACCTGTGTGGATGTACACCTGTGTGAATGTACACCTGTGTGCTTGTACACCTGTGCGAATGTACATCTGCGTGAATGTACAGCTGTGTGCATGAACACCTGGGAGGGGTCCTCGCTGTGCACTGAAGGGCCTGAGCAGGTCTCTCCCATGGTAAAGGGCTGCAAATATGTAACTGTTGGAATAGCTGATCAGGACCTGACACTGTGCCTGTACACCTGTGTGGATGTACACCTGTGTGAATGTACACCTGTGTGCATGAACACCTGGGAGGGGTCCTCGCTGTGCACTGAAGGGCCTGAGCAGGTCTCTCCCATGGCAAAGGGCTGCAAATATGTTGGAATAGCTAATCAGGACCTGACATAGCAAATAGATAAGTAATTGCTGGAAGGCCCCAAGGTTCAGCTCCTGAGCTAATGCTCTAACTGTGTGTGTTAATCTCAATTAGGCAGAAAAGTCCATACTTACTGTAATTGCAATCTTGGTATTTAGTATGTGTAACAGAAAGGGACAAGTAAGTGAATGTGTGGATGACACCACAGAGAGACAGCGCAGAACACACAGACACAAAAGTCCTCATGTCCTTTTTGGTTTTCAATAAAAAGAGAGTGTGACATCAGAGCTCCTGCATCTCAAGAATCTACCTTCCCTGGGTGCCTTGATGCTGTTCCAGAAGCACCTGAGTCAGCAGAAGGGGCCATGAAGGTCTCAGCAAGCTGGAAACTTCAGGACATCATTGCAGCATTAAGCTGGAGGAGACACGGTGTCCACCTGCGAAACCAGAGGAGCGACAATGAACTGAGGGCACGGGAGAGGGACTGGGGCACAAGGCAGGTGGCAGAACGAGCCTGAATTCTGAGGAAGGAAGAAAAAGTGGAAGGGGAGAAGGCAGTTGGTTCTCAGCCCAACTTGCATGATACCAGGAAATTTTCCCAGTGCATAGAAATGAAACAATACAGGAGAGAAATACTTTCTGTATCTGTGGGTGTTTACATGTGCTTTGGGGCATTAATGCAGCTATAAATGACCCTAACATCACACTAATCAGTTGTGATTTTCAGTATGACTTTTTATCCTGTTTCTTCTTCACATCTACTGGCCTGAAAATGGCAGCTCACCTGTTCAGACTTCATCATTAGCTTTGGAAGTTATCAGATTTGTGCTTATATAAAGGTTAAGAACAAATTCAGTTCTTCTGCTTAAACAAAAAGTAACATAAATCCTTACATTTTCTTTTCTTTTTTCTTTTAAATGACAACAAAACTGTGAACATAGGTAGGAAAATAATTGATATTTTCTAAGAAACTGTCAGGTGTGAAAAATACTGAAGGCTCAACAACTGTATTAATGCTATGAAAAGTGTTAGACAGCAGATTATAAGATATATATGATAGAAATCAAGACAATTTTTTCCTTCTAGAATTAGGGCTGATACCCAGCTGTTGGCAGAGGGAATATAGGGCAGGCCAGGTCTACCTATTGATGTGGGTGGAAAAGAAGGGGCAGAGCTGTCTCATCCCAAAGACAAGTGAACTCCTATAGCCATGCTCCCTTGTGAATCTCAACACGAACACCCCCTAAAAAAGTCAGGTTCTACTTGTTCTCCAGTATCTGTAACCAGGCTTAATGAGCTGGAGTACTTTTCAAAGATAATCTATCTGTGCTGACTGGTTTCAGTGAGGACTTCTTTCCCTGCCCCTCAAGGCTGCATCCTTTAACTCAAAGTGCTTGGCATCCTGCCCTAGTCAGGTTTAGGGAAAAGGCACTTTGTCCATCCAGCTGTTGATAAACCCAATGAAGACTATCTGCCATGTCAGTATATGGATAAAGGACCGTGACAGGAAAACATACTTTTCTGTAATAGCCTGAGGTTTTTTCTTTTAATCAAAAGCAAAACACAACCCCTGAAATGCATCAATTTCCCATTAGAACTGGAAATGTACTGACATCCTACGATATTGCCTTTACATTTTAGTGTTCCACTGACATTTCAGGAATTAAAAATGAAAAATTAGCTTCCAAAAAGAAAGATCTTCTTGATTAGAAAAACTTGTTGAAATTGTAATGGAAAGATCAGAACAATTTCATTAGTCTTCATTAAAGAAAATTAATATTATTTCTATTCCCTCAACATAGAATCATCTATTACGATTATTAATATGGCAGATGTTTCTTTTGTCCCAGCATTTAATGTATAAATCTGCAAACCTTCTTGCATGAAAAACAACTTATGATCACTAGAATGACATGCAGTTCATCTTTTTTAAGTTCATTAATTTTCTGTAAATAGGGCAGAGTCACTTTGCATTGTTTGCATTAATGGAGAGCTCAGAGCAGTTTACCCTCTTACTACTTATCATTCATTTGGGTGATAATTTTTAAAAGCTTTTAAATTAAAATGGTAAAGATAGTTAGGGGAAAGATACAGCCTTTCAGAACGTTCAAGCATGATAGATTATGCCAGCAAAAAAGATGTTTCTCATTTAAGAAACGTTCCAGGGCTGGCTGCATCTCCAACAATTGCATTTCAAGGTATTTTTCAAGCCCCCACCTTGTTTTAGGCAGCTTGCCCATATCAAGTTTGGAGCATAAGTGAACCAGCCTCCTGCCTGTGTCCCCCCAGGGGCTCAGCCTCACCCAGCTTGTCCCAGGACAGGTGACAGCACCAGGGTGGTGGCCACACCTGGTGCCCGGCTGGGACCAGTGACCCTCACAGCCTGGGGAGCCAGGCCAAGCCACCAGCACAGTGAGGCTGACACCTCTGGCTGAGCTGATCACCCTCGGCCTCTCTCAGGGCAGGATTCAGGGCAGGAGCTGGCACAAGGTACAAATTCCAGCACACCTGGTACCACATTTGCAACCTCTTTTACACCAGCCCTCCTCACGAAAAATGCCTGTTTGTGATGAGAACACTGCAGCCAAGGCACTGAGGGAAGAAGGCACCCCTGTTTCCTTGGCCGTCACCCTTCAGCAGTGAGCCACCTCTCAGCCCTCTGTTTAACAAGGGCACTCTCCATTCACCACGTGTCCCAAAGCCCAGGGCAGCTCCTCAATCCCACACAGTTCTGGAGGCAGCGAGCAGCGGGGACAGTGCCTGTGGGAATGCTTCTCTGGGGAGCTGCTCCTCAGCTCGAGCTTTTTTTTTAAGACTTCTGTGTTTCTGGCAATAATCATTCCTTGTGTTGCAATCCAGGTGTCCAACATACCAGTCAGGCACTTTTTGAAAATGAAACTTTGCTTAAAAGAAGTAAAGATGAAATGAGTTCCCACACTCATCCAGGCAGGTGAGCCTGTTCTGCCACAGCAGGAGCAAAGCCATGGATCCAATAGGCTGATCTACACTGCAAGTGGTACATTTTGTGTGCTTATTTTTTGTTTGGAGCTCTCTGAGAGACGGTATCAGTGTGATGTGTTAACTCTTCTGTTGTGGTTGTGAGGGTCCCAGGATGAGGGAAGAGATGAATCTGACTCCGTACTCTTAGAAGGCTGATTTATTATATTATGATATTATATTATATTATAATAAATTATATACTAAAACTATACTAAAAAGAATAGAGAAAAGGATACATCAGAAGGCTAGAAAAGAATGAATAATAAAAACCCTCAGACTGACCCTCTGACTCCTCAGAGCCTCAAAACAGCTGGATCATGATTGGTCATTAAATTAAAACAATTCACACGGAACCAATCAAGCATGCACCTGCCACATTCCAAAGCAGCAAAACAGGAGAAACAAATCAGATAACATTGGTTTTCTTTTCCTCTGAGGTCTATCAGCTTCCCAGGAGAAAAAATCCTGGCAAAGGGATTTTTCAGAAAATATCATGGTGACACCCTTCAACCAGCATCTCCCTCTGCTCCTGCAAGAATTTTGGTTGCCTGCCAGAGGGATTTGGGATGGGTAGGAAAACTTAACCAGCTCTGGGGAATGATTTCATTTCCTCTCAAAAATCTGCTTAGAGGTTCTGAGTAAAGAAGGATGAGGAAAGGCAAAACCAACCCAAAACAGTTGCCTATAGTGGCAGCTCATCTGACTATGGAGGGAGCCCAGAAGCCTGGCTAACTTAGACATAGGCTTGGTGGATCCAAAAAAGTAAAACATAAAGGAACCGATACTCCCTAAGTTCACTCAACCATCTCAAGAGACATTTCAGTCTCCTTCTAGAACCGTTGTCACCTCATCAGTTTCCATTTCTAAGGCAGAGACCCTTCCAAACCCAATTCCAGCCTCAGCCTTGGCTGGTGATCCTGCTCTAAAGCTCACACACCAGCCTGAGGCCACATTTCAAACCACCCCCAGGCAATTTCAGTGCAGGCACAGGGGAGTACTGCCACAGAAAGCAGAATCAAACTGTCAGTGGCCTCATTAAGCAGAGGGCACCTCAGTCCCCTGACCAGGAGAGCAGCTCATGGGCCTTTAACAGACCCAGGGCTGCCAGGCCACTGCAGTGCTCGGGAGGGTGAGCCCTACTGCACTGCGAAGGAACCAGCAGAGAGCGAGCTTTGTTCGTTCATACCTTGCCTTTCCTAATGGATGTTACAGATATAAGTCCTGAAGTCTTGCTTATCTGACAGAGTACATTTATTTCTTGTCAAATGGGCAGCATATGTTTTCCCAGCCAGCTGTGCCCAGGTGTGAACAGACAGAGCTCTCGTGAGCTGTGTGAAACTGGGAGAAGGCATTCACAGCTCCAAGGCTCACCTCTCCTATTCACACTGTCTATTAATCCAGTCTGACAGGCATTTCTACATGGGCCTGGAGTGTGCTCTGTGTGTGCTTGTTTTCCTGTGTGTGCACACAGCTGTGGTTTCTTGTGATTGTTAGAAACAGGCAGGTTTGTGTCTCCCACCTTCTCCTCCATTCTGCTCCTTCTTTTGCAACAGAGTGAAGGAGCTGTTCACCACCTGCAGGGAAACCTGACCTGGGGCAGATCTGCTGATTGTGGGTTCCATCCCTTCCCACTGCCAGGACCAAGGCTGCACTGCCAGCCAGAGCACAGCTCCACTGCCTCTGCTCTGACCACCATCCTCCCAAAACACAGGCACTCCTTCCTTTAAAGCAGGAGAGACACCTCACTGAACACAAAGAGATGCACATGGGTTTGGAATTAACCCTTTGGACAAATGTCAACAAGAGCAGGCTTTTGCCCCACATTCAGCACAGCCTGAGGAGGCAGACTGACACCATCCACGATGTCACATTCACCAATAGAGCTGTACTCCAAAAGAGAAGAGTTTAGCCCCAGAAATTAGCAGCTCACTGTGCTGAAGCATCTGTCAGACTTCTCAGTGACTGGGGAATTGTGGTTCCTTTTAAGTGAGGCAGTGGTGCCCTGGATCACTATTTTAGTAAAGGGCAGGGGTCCCCTTCCCTTCACAGAGAGATTTGAAATCCAATGTCACGTGCAGAACTGAAGAGGTGAAAGAATCAGACCTGAATGCTTCCAACAAAACTTAATAGCAAACCTAAGCAACACTCACATGGCTCTGTGGCATCCACGCTGAGAAGCTGGTTTGAGCCAGAAAGCCAAGCCCCTGTGCTGTTGAACCAGCTGGGAATATTGATGTGATTAACAATGATTTGATTTGGAAATCAATGTGAAGGAGGTTGTTTGCTTGCTTTGTCCAATTTAGTCCCTGAAATACTGGGTTCAATACAGGGAGAAATCCAGTCAAAGCAGGAAGGGGATTCTGAGGAGGGCTGGAGTGGGATGTGTTTGTTATTTTATCAGACATCCCTCTGGATTCTAGCTGGGGAAAACTTGAGC